TAATTTTAAGTGCGATTACATACTTGCAGTTACCCGCTTGCTGATGTAAGTGGTGGCGACGAACAACTGTCGCCAAGACACATCATATATGAAAAAAGTTTTATAATAATTGTATTATATATCAACCGACCCTAGACAAAAGTCGTAAAATGGTCGTTCATTTCTCGGAAACTTTTTTTTTCGTATTCAATCAAGCCACGTATCGAGTTGTTACAAACACCGCTAGTCAGATGCGTATATTGTCGTTATTACCTGAATAATATTATTACTACGGTGTAAAAACGAATAATAAGTTGTATTCCATAAAATATATAATACATTGAAGACGAAATTTTGTATTATTACACTGGCTCTTATATGTTATTAATTTAATGCCTGGACTTCCATGCAAAGTGCATTATTATAATATAATGCATTGTTTTCTGGGTACTCTAGACAAATGCATTCAAATTACGTATAATTCGATATGCATGTAACAAATATTTCAAGTCAAACTTTTTTAATGTTTTTCTATTTATAAAGTTATTTATTAGTGCATACCTATATTAAAATTTAAAACACTGTTCGATCTTTTAGTGTAAATTAGGATATTCAAAATAGTATACCAAGAAATATTATTGTTTTCATAATATTTGCTTCAATTGTTTTTAATATTTTTCATTCTCACAAAATGTCAATTGTTCTATTTACGAGTGTGACAACATCTTAATACATACCTTCACCAATTATCGAATACAGAGTATTATCGAGATTCAAATAATTAGCATATAATTAATTATTACCAATTGGTCAGTTAAAAATATATTGCGACTTCGTATTTTATTTCCCACATACTGTTTATTGTTATTTATTGCGCGTATTTTAGTTTTTATTTAATTGTGTTGTTTTAGTAATTGTAATCTTGTAAGTTTAGCTAAAATAAAGAAATGTTAAAAATGTCAACAATTAAAACGTCATTTTCCTCCTATTGATTGCGTGGTTGCATGTCTAAAACAAATGTCTGTCACTTTTTAAAGGAATTTATTTATGAGTGAGCAGTGGTAGTAGACCCTGTAAGAACAATACAGTACCCTATTAAGTCCGAAAATAAAACTCGACCGTAGTGAAAAATTGTTGAAAATAAATAAATTGCCAAGCCCGGAAGTGGGGAATCGGACGAATGTCCGTGTCGGAAGAGAGGTGGTCGTAGTGCGAACCGGTGTCAGAGAGCGCGTGCGCGCTGGAAAAATGAGTACTGTAGCGTAGCGACTTTCGGTCGGTGTCGTATTTCAACTTTACGCGTTTGGCTCTAGCCCAACGGAGTGCCGACGCGGCCAGTTCGGAATTCTTTCGCCACCGTGCGCGAGCGATGGAAACCGACTATACGCGACGCGTACCTCCACTACTTCAGCAAGAACGTTGACTACCGCTACCACGCGACACAACCTTGAACCTGGTCGCCGAGCGCGTTCCACGAAATCCGGTCGTACCGCCGCCGTTGATAGTTATAATATCTACATGCACGTATGTTTAGGTACATGCAAGTATCGTCCAATCGACATATGGCAGTGCTTTTTTCAACTCTTCCAACGAGTAGATAGATAGGTAGGTATCGTCTATATACTGCGTTCAGATGCCATAGGTTGAAGATATTTGTCTATTCACGAGTTGTAGATTTATTTTTTTGACATATTTTAATTTATTTTACCTAATTGGGGGTGTTGGTCACATATGTTCGTTATCTTAACACGATTAAAATCTATAAGTTTGTATACAAAATAATATTATTTGTGAATGAATTGATTTAAAGATAGTGTGTTTTTTATATGTGTTTAGTTGGATCTAGTTTGTATCCTGTTGAGTCAAAAGTAGAAATTTGTCAATACATTTCACCATTTTATCGAAGGAAAAAAATATTTGAGTAAACTTATTAAAATTGGTTTGTAACCATGATTACCAAAAAGGCGAACCATTTCGGTTTAAGTTCTTTTTTTACTATATTAATCATAGAACTAAAATAATGATCTCATTACAGCGACATAAATTCAATAACGAATTACAATATAAACTTATACAGCAGAGCAGTTACCTGTTTTATTAAACATTTTTACCAGTTATTATATTATAATATTTGTAAATAAAACAAAAATAATATGAAGTACGTAGAATATTTTCGTAAGAAGTGCATTGTAGGTAGATCCTCAGATCACACTAAATTTTTTTATATATCAAAGGTCTATCCGATGAAGAGTTATATATATATAATTATTTGTATACCATAGAATTGCTGCATCTACGCAATTATACTTACCTCTTCAAGGAACGATAATATGACATCGTATTAACTTTTCGTTCGGTTGATTTAGTAGAAAAGTGCAGTTGATTAACCATTTATATAGGTATGGGAAAAGAAACAGAGGAAATGTGAACAAGAATATGATAATTATATTAAAATAAAAACAAGATTTTTTTTTCTACACGCCATTTTTTTCCATTCCAAATTACAATTTTTTCCAATATAACAAAACAATTTTGCCAAAAGATTTTTTTTTCATTTTTGCTTTTTTTTTTATCTAATATAAGTATGAATAAAATACAAAACATAGACTCTAAAATATCAATTAATATCGTTTTTTTTAAATATTACATAATTTAAAAAATTAGGTAATTATACACTAATTTATTTTTTGTATTTGTTGTGTAAAAACGATAAAGAGGTACATATGGGTTTTTCTTAATTAACTCGAGGTTATAAATAAATTAATCATAAAAAGAAGTCGACACTCGATTACGAGTAAAAAAAAAAAACAAACTTAAATCATAACAGATAAAAGCAAGTCTAACAACTTTCTAGGCTAATGCCACAGACTGTACATAAAAAATATATATTATATATGTGTATAACTTAGGTTTCGATAAATATAAATAGGGTAATAAATTTATGGCTTAGAATTAAGATGAAAATGTATTTTTTTTTATTTTTTTTTTTAAATATACATCATTAATTTTCCAATATAATGTTTGCAGCACTTGGTTAACAATCACGTTCAGCCTTAATTATTAAAAATAATAATATCTAATACAAAATTAGTCTCACTAAATTTTACTTTTTCCTCCGTAGTTATAATATATACACATATATGTATTTATATTTTATATATGTCATCGTATATATTATAATTAATATATGTGCGACCAATAGAGTTAGTGTTTAAAAAATATATCTCTCTTTCGCGCGTGTAATAAATGAAAAGAGGGAAGGGTGTATATATATTATGAATGAGGATGGCACTCAAGACTAGAGTTAAAAAAAAAATCCAAAAACGAAAGTTTTTTAAAAAATTTAGGGACGTTTATTTTACGGCAGAAACGTGTTGTTTTGGAGAAAAACAAACATTCTTTTTCATGGCCTAATAACTAAAACAAAGTCTTAACGATTTATAAAAAACAGCACTTATCACAATATTGTATCGTAGGAGAAAATTTGTTTAAAAATGTCTATGACTTACTTATTTAATATTTTTTTTTTCTTTAACAAAAACCTAATATTAATGAACACTCCTGTTACTTCCACTGGTATAATTATAAATAATCGCATTAACAATTACTTCAATACGTTTTCATGTATACTTATTAAAACATACATAGTATTTAATATTTATATCTAAAAATATGAAAGCTTTTTACCATTTTTATATACTTGATATAACGGGGATTCCTTGTTTAATTAATCTGTATGTACAAATAAGCGCTTTTATAAATTATTTTCTTTTATAATATAATAATAATTGTAATAATAAAAATAATAATAAAAATAATAATAATAATAATAATAATAATAATAATAATAATGTTTTACGTACATTTTATTCAATTTTTACAAGTGCATTTAAATTAGGTGCCGTCTAGTGAACAAAAAAAAAATGTTTAAAAATGAAATAATAATAATAATAATAATAATAATAATAATGATAATAATAATAATAATAATATAAAGGAAAAATGCGCAAACACAACTTGGAAATGCAACGAAATCAGGTAAAACGTAACAAAAAAAAAAAAAAAACTAACAAGTATAGTATACCTACATCAGAAAAAAATAATAGTTATCAATACTACCAACTATAACATTTTAAGATCTTACTTAATCTATTTTGTACTGTGCATTAAAAAAACGTGTGGGGAGGGGAAGCATCATGAAATAATATCCTCGTAGACTTAACAATAAACTCATACTTAAAATTATTTATTTTATCGTCTACGATTATGGATAACGTTAAAAATATTATACAACTAAAAGTTTTCATTAGACATTTAAATATATATATATTAAAAAAAAAAAAACTGTACAATAGGAACATGTCATATCGTTTAAACGCTGTTTACTTGTATTTCACGATTTTAAATAATAAAATATTTTAAAATATATTCAATAGGCTTATATGTTTGAAAAAAAACTAAATATCCTAAGTGTTATACGATTATTATAATAAAATTTATATATTTATTTATATATATATAGTAAATTAAATGTTGATTATTCATATTTACAAGAATATCTATCACTACACACCGCAGTATCATGGGAGCAAAGGAAAGGGAGATAGTAGAAAACTTAAATCCAAAAAAAAAGTGTCGAATATATTATATACTACGAAATATTAAATATTTCAGACGAAATTTTTTTTTCATATATATAAACAAGAGTTTACTATAAGACCTACTCCGACTTGGTTGTTTACCGATTGTAAAAAAATGTAATTCTGTGGATTTCGAGAAAATCAGAAAATAATAAATAGAAAAATCTCAAAAAACAAACACGGACACTCGGTCGTCTTGGGCAAATTATCATAATATATAATATCTTAACTATATGTACATAAACATAATATTATAACACCGATACACAAACACACACGTATAAACACGTCTAACTACTTAACTACCTCTACATACATATACAATACGTATCGATAATAATTATTGATAAAAATAATAATAAATTAATATATATTTAAATATATTTGAGCAATTGTTCTTCGAAATAATAATAATAATAATAATAAAAAATGTAATAATATTAATAATGAAATTAAAGGACGCCCAAGACGAACGAGTACGTCATTGTGTATACATGTGCGTTTGTATCGTGTGCGGGGGGGGGGACGAGAAGATGATGTTATAAAAATAATAATATTATTGTAAGATACGCTCTCACCGCGATGACTATTGCTGCTGCTGATGATGTTGTTGGTTGTGTGAATGGTGAGACGACGTTTGTTTCTGTTTGCCATACCGTCGGTGGTAGTGCTCGCGCCTGAGCTCGAAAAGCCTCTCGCGGAGCATACGCTGCTTCTGCTGCATGACGTGCTTCTCGGACAGCAGCCGCCGCTCGTCGAGCATCATGAGGTCGCATTCCCGTTTGGCACCCCGCAGTATGCTCAACTTGGACGGTATCTTCCGGTTGTCGTCCAGGAACGACACCTGCATGCTGAGGTTCATGAACAGCATGCTGGTCTCCACGCGCCGCGACTTCTCCAGGTCATTGTGCAGTGCCCGCTTGACGGGGTCCATGAGCTTGGTCTTGTAGCTGTAACCGCCGCTCACGTTCTCGTACTTGATCTTCTTTCCAGAGCTGCCAGACTGCTGCTGCTGCTGGTGGCGCAGCTTGGCCGATGATTTTGCCGATGCGGACGACGCCGAAGTTTTCTTTTTCTTCTTCTTCTTCTTCTTGCGCGCGCCGCCCGTGGACGACGAGCTGCACGACGATGAGCCACCGGAAGACTTGCTTCCGCGGCCGGCGCTCGATGCGGACGTGCCGCGCAACACTTTGTCCCAGTCCATGTCGTGATCGTCATCGTAATCGTCGTATTCGTCATCGAACATGTCTTCCGGTTCGTTCTTCATTAGCGACTCGAAGTCTGCGTCCATGTCGTAATCGTCGTCTTCTTCGTCATCGTCATCGACTCTGCGGTCTTCGTCCTCGTCCAAAGGTTCGGACTTGATGGTCGGCGTCAGTGCATTTTGTTGTTTCTGTTGTTGACGCTGTTTTCGTCTGTGTCGTTGTCGGTTGTCGTACTCGTCGTCGTCGCTGCGGTCATCGTCGGCTGACGAACCAGCGTCATCCAAAGGTTCTTCCTTGATGACGGGTTCATCCTTGATGCCAATAGCGCCCTTCCAATTAGTGTCCTTTTTGTATCGGTCCAATAGCGACAGTCCACCGCACATTTTCTTGGGCGGAGGAGGAGGCATCGGATAAGCAGCGGCTACAGCGGCCGCGGTGGCTGATTGTCCGGCAGTCTTGTGCTTTCGTTTGACCGTGTTCTTCCATTTGGTCACGGGTGGTTCTCGCTTCTTAACGATGCCGCGTTTCATTATGTCCGCCATGGTGGCGCCTTTGCGTGGCGTGTCCGGTGTGTCCCAGCTGTCATTGACAACATCGATCTCTTCTTCTTCTGTGATAAAACCGAAATCAAAAATACGCATGTTAATAACATATAAAGTAAAACAAAATACTTAATAATTACAAAATTGATCGGCATGTACAAATAATAACAAAAATACGTGTTAAGGTCTTTGACGTGAAAAACTATTCTATGCACTGAAATTTACGATTTTAATGTTTTTGTGGTGTTCCTTTATTCAGAAAAAAAATAACAACTATTATTTGATAATATCTCCTATTATCGCTTATCGTCATCGTAGAATTAACGAAAAATAATACATAAAACCTCTCCTATGTAAACTCCTAATTACTTCAAAATAATACCCTTGATGTAGCTATAAAATTTGTTTCTACATATCGTCGACAATTTATTTTTTTTATTTCCCAAAAAAAAAAAAAAAAAACGGATTTTAGCACATAGGTGTTTTATCATGTCGACGAAGATTAAATGGTGTAGTATGACGCACCGGTGTTGTGTAGAAGATGGGTAAACGTGTCGAGAAGGTAAATAATTTGATGAAATAAAAATTCATGCTGCTCCCCGCCGAAGTATAAGAAGGCGCGGGAAAAAAGCACAGCGTCGTTCAAGGGCGGGTCGACGACACCGTCGCCGAGAGCGCGCGGATCGATCGGGCGGCGGCCGTGACGTCAGGGTCGCGCGCTTGTGTGAGTGTGTAAGACTGCCGCCGCCGACAATTCCCGCCAACGTGCGCGGCTGCCCTGAATGGCGTCGTGTAGGACGACGTCGCCGGTGCGTTTATACACGACGACGGCGGTCTACTCGAAGCGCGACAGCGGCGGCGTTTTTCGCGCGCGCGGAAAATCTCTTGCCGGGAAAAACAGTAACGCCGGTGCCGCCGCGATGCGCGCGCACGCGACACGTCGCGACTTGCCACACCGCGAGGGGCCCCGGTTAGGGTTCAAGGGCAAGTCCACGACTGCCGCCGCAGTCGCCCGTATATCGATCGCCCGTAAAATCGAAATATTTTCCACCTCCTCTACGGGACATACCCTTCCGCGGCCCCTTCAACCCCCCACTTTGCCCACGATCGCCGACGTTGTTTTGTAGTAATAGTATTTTTAGACACGTTATCGATACGCGCGCGTGAGTACACCATCGCGCCGCCCGCCGGTGATGACAACATTCATCTATTATAGGTTTATTATTTATTATTTTTTCCCATCGTTCTCTCACACGGGGGAGGAGGAATATTAATATTTATCGCAAAGACCAGGAAAAACACTAAAATTCCGTCACTATTAATAAACGTAAAATTTAATGTTGCTGTGGTCGTCGTCGGTATATTATCAATTTATCATTTATCAATTTACTCCGTACGCACGCTGGAGGGGAGAACGTCGACGATAACTAGAATACTCTCACTTTTTTGTAAAATATCTGCTGCGTCCGTTACCAGAACGACGACTACGTATTATTTATCATTATTACAAGGGTTTTCAAAAGACCAATTCTTACATAAACAAAATCTGAACCAAAAACATATTGTTACTACTTTTTTGTATTTATTCGGAAAGCGAAACGTTTTAACCAAAATTGATCTTAAAAGATAAGTTAAAAATCATTGGTAATATACTAATATAAGATATTATGTTTAATTTTGACCCATTTTAAATAACTCGGTTCTTATGTAATGTGCTCAATCAAAAATAGAACTCATTATTAATGAATTTGATATACAAAAAGTAATATTAGAAATACAAGTTATTTAGTGACTATCAGTATTTATATTCTGGATTTATGAAGGCCTGGTGGTATTAACACGCAGTCATTAATTTTAATTGAACAAATATTTAATTAAAAATAAAATATTACTGATAATATACTTATTTAAGATTTGTATAATCATAATGTACCTGCATTTCGAATACCTATTAGATGGATATATTTAGCAATCGAAAATTACGTAAATAGTAATATAATGTGGTACTCATTTCGGGAAACGAATTATTTTGTCAAAAGAGAAACGTTATTATTACTTATTATTCGCGCGCATACCAACATGGCTATCCGAGCAGCAGCGCGGGAGAGTGAATACGGAGAAATCTAACGGTGATTGAAAAAAGAAAATATTAAATAATGAGCTGCAAGAGATATGGTCGGAATTTCTTATCCGTTAAAAGATACTGCAAGTTTTTTTCGTCCAAAAATAGAATTAATTTGTGTTTATTATTGCCATTTTTTTTTTTTTTATCATCGTTTACACGCGCGCATTTTTTATAAATAATATGACGACGACAGTCGATTCACAGAATATACCATACGATATGGAGTGAAAAAAAAACCACTACATCGTCGTTTACACCACCCCCCGAACGACCACAAGGAACGGATCAGATATCGTCAACAACAACAACCACGACTGAAACGAAGACGCAGAAAAGACACGCAGATGGGTGGCGGCACGAACGGCGTTTGAACGGTGCGCCACCACCACCGCCAAAGACGAACGGTGGAGGGGAGCGACGGCTTAAAAAAAATAAAAACGTTATTAAAGTCGCGGGTTATTTTGAGAGGGAAAATAACCACCGCCGACCGGACAATATCATTACGATAAGACAATAATATTATGCGATTAAAGTCCGACGACGACGACGAATATCTCCAATTCTGTAGGCGGACGTCCGGAAACAGATTGGGACAGGCCCAGTACCCCCAAAATACACACCACCTCTATCGGCGGGACATTCGCCGATTGCGGATGAATCGTAACGATTACTTTACAATTATTATTAAATATTAACAACACGCTCTTCATGGCAGCACACACACCCAGTACGGGATTTACGACTGATAAAAACGAGACGGACGAGCAGCACACCACCGGCCCGTAAAGTAATCTCGTCGACGTCGTCGTCGGAACTCGCAATGGACGGACGGACGCGTAGAGGAAGGGAATTAAAAACGAAATTAAATGAAACCGTCGAGCGGGGCCGAGTGGTGGACGGGCCTTGAACTAGGCCACCGTTTCCCGCGCGTTTCCCCCCTACGCACCGCAAAGACCGGTGATGCGCGCGCAATCGTCGTCGTCGCCGCACCATCGCGAGCCCCGCCAGCGCCGGCACGCATGTTGCGCAACGACGTCTCCGACGGAGAACACATTAAATTAATAAAAAAAATAAAATAAATCCTTCGTCACAGAACCCGACGACGTTACTGCTGTTATCATTAAAATAATATAATCGTGTGGTGTACTCACCGGAAGACTGCGAACGGGACGGTGGCGGAGTGACGAGTCCCAGCATGTCCACCAAGTGGTTGGGATGGAGTTTGACGGGCGACACGGCCGTCGACGAATTGTTCGAGCCGCAGCCGCCGTGGCTGGTGGGCGTCTGCAGGTAACTGTGGTCCAGTTCAGTGATCTGCAGTATGTCGGCGTTAGGTTCCGCCTTGAGTATGATCGGTAGCAAGTGGTTGTCGCTGGTCCACAAGTAGTCGTCGTCCGGTTCGGACTTGACCGTCACACCGCCGACGATCGCTGCAGCGGCGGCGGCGGCTGCTACCGCGGCCACGGCTGGGTCTTCGTCGGCCGCCAACGACGTGCCGACCGGCGAACGCTCGGCGGCCGCGTTGCTGTCTCTCGTACTGTGGTTGGGGGTTTCGGCCACGTAACCGGTCACCTCGCCGGGGGGTACCATCTGGAACGCTTTTTGCACTTTCTCGCGGTTCTCGTCGGTGAGCGCGTACCGGTCGGCGTAGAATATCCAATCGCAAATGTCCAGGTAACTGTTGTCGGCCGTGTCGAATTCGCATCCGTCGAACTGACACCAACTGATGTCCATCGTCGTCTCGGCGGTCTGTTGCTGCGACGGCGTAGACGACGCAGATGAAGTCGTGGACGAGGCGGTCGACGACGGTGGTGATGCCGACGACACGCCGACGGTGGTGGAGGCGGTACAGGTGCTCGGCGAGTGGACGTCAGCGGTCGCGGTTGCCGCGGCGTTCTTGGCCAGGCACGCGTCGCACGAGTCGCATCCCGCTGCGCCCATGTAACTGTTTTTCTTACACAAATCGGTGGGCGGCCGGCCGCAGCAGCCGCCTGTCGTGCCCGCGGTTCCGGCCACCAAGCTGCTCAGCAGACTATCGGCTGTCGCTCCGCCGCTGACGGCTGCGACCACCACGTCCCGTTCGAACTCGAACAAGTCGCTCTTGCACACGTCGCTCATCGGCGATGCGGGCAACACGTAGTCCAGGGCGATGTCCATGGCCAGGTTGGTCATCTGGTTCAGTATAGATTCCGTGCTCGGGTTCACCATTTCGGCGGCACCTGTGACGATACAACAGAGATCAGTAAGTTGTTCGGTACGAGTATGAGGCCGGAAGAAGACGAACTCGGAAAAAGAAAAAGAAAAACAGAAAACGGGTAGCGCCTACTGGGAACGCGTTACTTTTTTGGGGGGGTGATCGGGATGTCTGATGATTGGGACACGGGGAAGCGATTCAAATTCTGTGGTCGGGCTATACACCGCCGTGACGATTTCCCGGGCGCACCGGTGGTCGGTCGGGCGGGAACGGCGTGGGGAAAAAAGGTTCGATAACGGGCGCGCGCGAAAGTGAAGGGCGACCGGCGCGCCGGCGCGTCGCCGACGCCGGCCGGCATACGCCCAACGCGCGCGCCACGTTGGTCGCGCCAACTGCCGCCGGCTGGCGGGAAACGGTACCGCCGGTCTAAATTGGCGGGCCCGCCGGATTGACTCCGTTCACCGTCCGTCAACTGTCTGTAACCATTAAGAAATATTGTTCCACTTACCCGGCAACGTGATTTTAGTCCGCGTAATCCCACCGGTTGTTTTCGACGGTCACTCGGCGTGTCGCCAACGCGCACGCACACACGATGAGATGTTCAAAATATAATGTTTTAACGCAACAAATGTTGTCCCGTCGGGAAAAATACCGGGAAATTCCCACGCAATACCGCGTTATCCGACGGCTACGGGAAAGTCAAAATATCAAACGGCGATGACGACGGATTGTCTATTTTATAATCTACGGAAAGGTCCTGACGAAAATAAAAAATAAAAATTCCAGGCACAGGCGATATGATATTTTAATTTACCGTGAGGAACACTCGCGATCTCGCGTATAGATCGAAATCGGAAAACTTAAAAAAAAAAAAAATAAAATAGTATAAAAATGTCAAAGAAATTTTACATTCAACGATATTACGGAAACAGACACGCGCGCCACGTTCACTACCGGCGCCGGTGCGGATGAGACTGTACTACTGTACGCGACGGCGGTCTTCGTCACTACTACTACTACGACGACTACTACCGCGGTTGTGGTGGTAGTGGTGGGCTTGCACACACGAGCGGTGCGTGTGTTGCGCGCGGGCAATGGAAGTGCGTACGAAACGGTCTCCGTAAAAGGACTGACATGGGGCCGGGGCGAGGTGTCGGCGGTACAGTCACACGCACACACACGCTCGTAAACGGGCCGGCGGCGCGCGCACTCGCACGGCCGCGGCGGTGCCCCAACACCGCCGTCGCCTGAAAACGCCGGCCGGCGTGCCCCGGACCGCCGCCGCTCGTCCGGCCCGTCTGTTGACAATGCCGCCGCCGCATCACTCCCACCGCCACGAGGATAAGTACGCCGCGCGCCACCTCCCGTGCGTGCGCGAGCCGTAACGTTTGCGTCTCGACCACCCCGCCCGCCGTCCCGCCAGCCAGTGGAGCACCGCCGCCGCGACACCGCCGAGTGTGGCGATCCGTCTGCCGCCTGTGACGCCGCGACTCTCCGGTGAGATTACGCACCGCGCGACGGCGGCGGCGCTGCACATACACGTTGGTGGTCGCGCACGCTGGATGTGCCGTTGATTTTCGGCGGAACGTTTCTACACCGCCCGTCGGTACCCGCGTCTTTTCATATAATTAACGCGGTTTACGTGTTATTTGTTGTTGTTGTTGTTGTTGTTCTGTTGTTGTGCTGGTGGTGGTGGTGGTGGTGGTGGTGGATGGCGAACCGAGTGATTTCAGTGTTTGGCACGTAGGAGTTTTCCTAGTTTGTGTATTTCGTTTGTTGCTTACCTCTGAATGATTATTGTCTGATAACGTCTAAGTCGAGTATGAACGATTTTCGATAACGTTTGAGATTCGTCCAAAATTGTCATTGTAGCGTTGTCGCTTTTTAATTTTGGAAATCTTATAAATATTCGTGTTCCCGCAATTTAAATAAACCGAAACGAAATTGCTTACACTTCGGTACAATTATTTACATACTGTACCACCTCAACGTGTTAAGCTTAAAGTAACAGCGTGCCAAATTTAAGTAGTTTTAAACAATTATTTTGTACGCTTTATAAACAGATATTGTGAACTTTACAGAAAGGGACTAAAAGTTTACAAACTATTCGGAGACTCAGTGGTACATGTTGGGTAATTATAATTTAACTAAGATGGCTTAAAAGTGAGGGACTTAATAAAATAAAATTAAACTGGTAGTCGATTGTCACGCAATGGGTGCACTGACAAACCGATTTTCTATAGACTCTTTATATTATCCTGAAGTTTTAGCGCGACTATAAACATTTATAAAGCGATTTTATTGCCAGAAAATATCGATTAAAATAGAATCTGGACCGTGGCGCGTAATAATTGTGTTCCATGAGTGTTATATGCGTTCGTGAAATAAATTGCGGCGCAGCTCAGCCGGCGCAAACAACACATTGGTACAATATTAATATAATAAAAATATATAATTTTATTGAATAGTTATAACACTTATAACATTATCTAATAAAGTGCCTATTTATTATATTAACTGTAACACCATGTGTTCGCCAACCATGTTAGGCA